CTCCACGGCGAAACGTTGTGTTCTCTTTCTTCTTTTTTTCAACATGGAATAAACCTATTGTTCCTTTGCAGCCTACGCATGCTGACACAGCCAACCACCTGAACTACCGTAGTTATAATATGTGTTGGATATGGCTAAGATCCTTTTAGAAGGTGTATTTACTGATCATGCAGGTCTGAATGCAGATGCCTAGTGTACAAGCGCAGTAGCTACTGTCTTCATCCTGTCCTGTAGTAGAGGGTCTTCTGTTATGATAATCTAATTCTCACCCACAATTTTTTTCTGGTATCAGCAAAACTGTAATGTGGAAAGCAATGCTAACACAAGTTCAAGTGAAGGTCGGTACAGCTTGCTTGTAAATTAATTTGACTTGATGGCTGTTGTGTCACTACTGTATCTTCTGTGGCATCAGATTTCTTTATACAAAAGATGTAGTTAAAAATTCATGTCATATATCAACTTAACACTATGACTGTTAATAAGTTTGCTGCGAACTACTGTGCATATTTAAGATGTTTTCCCTCATACTTGGGTGAACTTATGAAAGTGTTCTTAGCAACACAAAAAAAAATATTCATGTATTTGACCAAATTTGTAATCAGTTGTATGAAGGTCTCAACAAGTCACAAAAGACAGTTTCACTGAAAGCTGAAAAGGCCCTGGCCAGTCAATGCCTGCACTACACTGACAGTACAGTACTCAGCCAACTGTATGGCAAAACTCAGGGGATCCCAGTCACAATTAACTAGTGAGTTGCTGCTGCAGGTGGTGTTGGATGACCAGTAGGTGGCGCAATTCCCCACCTTGCATAGTGTTGACCTTGCATAAGATCTGTGCAGTAGGAGCAGAACTCTTTAGGGTGTCATCCTCAGAAAATAGTGTGTGTGTGTGTGTGTGTGTGTGTGTTTTGTGGCTGTCCCTTCCCTGCTGTATCCTGCCTTGCCCAAGCTGCTTGCCTGGATAGGCTCCAGATTTCTTGTGACTCCTGAACTGGAAAATGGGTGGATGGAGTAGTATTAGTAGAGGTCATAGTAGTAGTTTAGTTATTATTGAAATGTGCCAGTTAATTCTTAAGTCAATACCTTTTAGAACCAACCACAGAACTCAAGCCTATGAGCTCCAAATTTCTTTGATATGAAGCGATGCAGAGTTTGTTTTTCCCAGTCAATAAATGTGATAAAAACTTGGTTTGGATGTAGCTAAATAAAGGTAAATAATTAGTGTACTGCTGCACTACTGGTAATGAACTTCATTTAGGGATAATATGAGACAGATGGTCATTAATTGCCAGGAATTAGGTGATTCATCAGGGTTGCTATTGTGGAATATTTCTTATCAGAGGACAGTATCATAGCCAAATTAATCTCACAGGCAATCAAGCTTTCCTTCACCTCTGTCAACTTGTAATCATGGTATTGGGAATCATTTTTTTAACCAATTTTCAGACTGAATCATAAATTACTACAAATCCAAGGGTAATTTTCAGTCATCCCTGGTGTTACAGATTAAATGTTTCACTCAAATGAAATTTAGCACGAGTTGCAAATTCGATTTTCCGTTTTTGTGATGAATAATTTTGTAACAGGGAAAATCCTATGGGATTTTAAAATGGTGATAGTGTCTAAGATCTTTTTTTATGCTAATGGTTCCTTTGATAGAAAGAGAATATAAGCATTAGGAGTAGAAGTACTATCTTGTGTAACATACTGTATATCTAATTGAACTCACAGCTGCCTTTTGCTTAGCGAATGAAACACACTGAAACAAAGCTTAAATTCAGCTAATCTCAATAATGAGCCATTTGACATGAACAGCTGAGGTCTGTAAAGATCAAGAAGGAAAAGTCCCAGCCTCAAATGTCACCCACCTAATTTGGCTCAGTTTTTAACCACAATGTTGTATGAATGTCTTTGAAGGAAAATATCCACAAGTTCACTCTAATACTTAAGTATTCAGATGTCTTTACTAAGACTGGAGAGTTTGAGTGAAGAAACATACAAAGGTACATTTGTGTCCTTTCCTTGTGCTAATAAGGCAATTTCTGTAATTGTAAAGTCTGGGTTAGAAGAGAGACTCACAGACACATTTTTCCAGTTTCAGTTGATCTTACATAAATCATCCATGAATATCTGTGTCTCAATATAATTACCTTCAGAATTAATGCTCTGTTGCTACCATAGTTTCTATATTTCTTCTTAAGATTAGTTAGAATGAAAATTTAAGACATGTTATCTGTAGCTTCTGTTGGCTCACTGTTTCCTCATCTTAAATTTATGGTTTCTTTCTTCTGCCTGCATGTTAGTGGACACTTTTTTTTGCTAATCTCCTTCTAATCAGATATAACAGGGTCTAGATCATTGATATACATCAATGATGTATATCAGGATCATAAATTAGGTATGATTTATGATCCTGATATACAGGTATGAATCAGGTATTTGCTCCTAAATCAGGAGGAGCAAAGGTATAACTACAGAACCCTGTCTTTGTGTATTATTATGGTGACACAAAGGAGAAAAAACTATAGTGGTTATTATAGTTTGTAGAGAATTCTGTTGTGACAGCATACTGTACATTTCACAATGGATCACTACAGTACCCGCCTCTGAGCAATATCGCTGTGGATTTTTTCACAATTCAATTAAGCAGTAATGTTTCAGGCATTTGGATTTAGGGCTGTGCTGTTATTTCTATGTGTATTAGAAGTACATTTGTAAATGACATTTGTCATTTATATGTCAAAACTGTTAGATGGCAGGTAGCAAAGAGTCCTGGCAGAGAGGACAGGGGAAGTGTAACTGGCTCTTCACTCAAGGTGTTAATTAAAGTGACAGGAAGGCTCATCAGTGGCTGTAATGTCGGCCATTTGCTGCCCACAAAGCATAGCCTTCTTTAAAACAAAAAGGTTTTCTTTCGGGAGCTGGGGATGCATGTTCTTCTCTACATGTCAGCTCTTCACCGACCTGTCATTCTTCGCTGTAGTTTGGGAGTTGCGTTTAGCGGCCTGATTTTAGCAGCCAGACAAATATTTTAAGCAGACCGTGGAACACCATTTAAATGACAACTGTCAAAGTCTATTCCCACAATAGAAACAACATTCGACAGCAAACACTCAGTGGGATTTTAGCAGTTGTTTTGTTGAGACACTTTGCTGCCGTGTGATTCCTTCCTGCCCTGTTAATTACAGAATCATGAAGTAAAAACAGTGCTGTTCTTGCCCAACAGCACATCTGTCTCTCTAGAGACATACAGCCCAAAGATGTAACTTCTTCTTTCTTAACACACATCTGTACTTTGATACAGGAGAGACAAGGAAGAAACACAAGCTTGTATTGCTGGGGTTCAGATAGTGATGCATTAATACACCCTTTGCTTACCAGTGAAACAATGAACATTATTGTAAATACATACCAAGTTCTCTTTAAAATCCCCCCCCCCCCCCCACAAAATGTTCCACGTTTGAGAGAATCAAAGATACAAGATGCGATTAAGAATAATTTCCAACACAAAAGAAAGAATTAAACAATAAATAGACTTTAAGATTAAGTTTCTTAAAACAATAAGAATCGCCAGTTATTTTTTGTCATACCCATCCGATTTGGAAAAGCCAGTAGTTTGCTTTTGACGTCTACGCACGGAAATATTCGCTCACGACCGCATGCGAGGCAGAAAAGAGAAAATACGGGCAGGTTCCTTCGACTCGCTCACCTCCCAGCCGCCTGTCTGTTCGCAGTGCTGCCCCCTACCGGGGATTTGACAACGAAAGCGCCGACGGCACACGCTCCTGCAGGCTCCTGCCAGATCAGACGGGTGTCCGTGTCTGTGAGAGCCGAGGGAACCACCCTCTCACGGGGATTGCACAGAAGATGACACGACTATAGTGACAAAGTCAGCTGATGACATGACCCAGACCCAAGCCCGTGATTGTAGATCTCATGTGAAATTTAATTAGTAAATTGGGCCGTGCATGTTTTGTTGTTGTTTTTTTTTTGCAACCATTCCACTCTTAGGCCACTCTTTGGAACTTTGTTTGCTTTCTGTTGCTGGAGTACCAATCCAGTGCACTCTATGTGGCAGTATCATAGAGGTATTTTTGTAAATACTTTTTTTTTTTTACAGTGTGAAATAATGCATTACTGCTGAGTTATAATGCATTTCAGCTTAGTTTTTCTTCATGAGTTTAATTTATCACTATAATGTCTCCTGTAAAAGAAAGTGGAACCCCTCGGTGACTTTAGGATACTTCCTATGGTTTTTACAATGAGATGTAAATAAGGATGGATTTCTGAGACCTCAAACATGCAGATATTTACAACACGTTTCTGCAGAGCAGTATATCAAGACAATGAAACCCTTTCTGTGGGTCGATCACATAGCCGTCGCCAGACTGTCACTGCAGAGCAGGAGCCAAGTCTCCAGACAAGAGGCTGACCTTTCCTTCCCTTGTTTGCACTGACGCCCTGCCAGGACTGACAGGCAAACACACCTCAGTGGGGGGGGGGACCACACAAAATTAAAGTTGGTGGCCTTTGAACTTTACGTTGAAAAAGGCCGGATTTCAATTTAGAAGAGAGGGGAATGGAGGTGCTGGAAGTCCGTTGTGTCTCTCAGCGGATGAAGAGGCAGACGGTGAGGCATTAAGTATACTGTACGTATCAATAACAGCCAGAGGTGAACCTGCACTGTGGAGGAATCAGTGGCTTCTACAGTGTATGTGGAATGAAGGTGTCATAACATTAGTCTATCATAATATTATAATTATTGTGTGGTGAATCCCTACATCATAGGCACATCAATTCAAAATTCATTGTCCAAATCTACATGACATCTTGAGAAACTGAAATTGTGGCACTTAAAAAAAGTTCCTCAGCAAGTTTTGGAATATACAGTACTCACCTATGTTCTATTAAACGTATCTCCGTTGAATGAATTCCATCATTAGTATTACTGTATTTAAAAATATTATTTAAGAATAAGTGGCATGTCTGCTGTAATTCCAGGCTGTATCCACAGAAGGAGGATAGACCACATCACCATCCCCTTCAGTGCGGCATGCACCCAGGTGCTGGAGGACGGCTATAGTGAGCCAGCAGCATCACTGCACAGCAGATCAGGTGCAGGAGAGAAGTGAGAAATTGCCTCACCAATTGAATTAAGGTGGATATTTACTGAGGCTTGATTATACAAGGCCAGAGTGGAATTTAACCAAAATACAGTACTCCTACATTCTTAGTTCTGAAGTTTTGTCTGCTGTGCAAATTTCATCAGGAGATTCAGTTTTTCCGCTGGAGTTGAAGGCCTGTTGCAGATCTCATGATAACTCCCACTTCTCAGGATCTCTCTTTTTCTCTCCTAGCACAATCCTGTTCCTGTTGTCAGCCCACATGCAAGTGAAAATTTGCCATACAGGTCTCTGAGGTAAATAAAAAAGAACAAAAGGGGGAGAATCTCATGCTACATTACGTACAGTGTTTATATGTATATTAGTTCAAGTAGGCAGCTGTGTCACCATGCGTAGGCTGCAAAGGCACACTTGAAGGTTTATTGTATGCTTAAAAGAAAAGAAACACAACGTTTCAGCTATGCAACCTTCTTCGGGTGTTCTTTGGATTTGACACCAAAAGAAGGCTCTACAGCCGAAACATTGTTTCCTTTCTTCCCTTTTCAGCATGGAATAAAAGTTTACTTGTTTCTTTATATATAAGTTGCTTAAAGGATGTCTGCTGTCTTAGAAATATGTTCAGTTCTGTATCCATCTTGGTCTATATCTTCGATTATTTTAGATGTTTACAGCATAAATAGTGCGTTTTATGACCTGATAGTATTGTTAGACTGGACCTAACTGAAAATAAGTCTTGACTTGGTCTGTGGAAAAGCTGGAAAGTGTTCTTGAAAAGTATTCCAACTCTTTGAATAGGTGTGTGGTCTTTTATCAAAGATTTAATATTGCATTGTCACTTTTCAGATTTTTTTATCATTAATTTTAAACTAAACTAAAAGCAATGGTTTTCTCAGACTACTGAAGATGAAAATGTACCAAAGCTAAGAACAAATCTACAAAAAATCTCATTTTGCCGGGATTTTTTTACCTTGATGCTGGAAGCCATTTAGAGGCAAAGAGATTTATCAACTGTTTTCTCTGTTCCCAAAACGCTCATTTTGAAGTTGGAGAGGGGAAAAAAAAAACTTGCAGTTAAAAAATGGCTTCATAGCAACAGGGAATTGCTGCCAGAGTGTTACAGGCTAATTGGAACCAACATTTTCAAGGCATCAACAGCAGTAAAACCCCCCCTGGGGCAGCTTCTGGCAGAATAAACTGCCTCCATCACTGCAGGAACTCTCCTGATAAAGTCTCAGCATGAGCTTTACTCACACGGTGCACATCTTTTTGGCAGGTGACACGGGTCAGCGCAGGGATTGTAAGGATACCCATCTTTTACATCTGTCCATCCTTGTCAGTAAAGCCGGCGATGTGTGTGACCATGTGCCGCCGACGGAGAAGAGATCATGCTTTCAAGGGCAGAGCCTTATAACCTGCCAAGAGAATGGGGATATCTTGAAACTTGTATGTTATTGTTGTGACCTTCGCTAGAACAAAATGTCTAACACCAAGTGTTTGAACCATTACAGTCAGTACCAGTGTATCACTCTTTAACTCTTTATTGGCTCCATTGCTCAGAGCTTCCAGCTCTGACAGGTAATAAAACATGTACCTTTACTGCCTAAGTACCAAGCCGTCTAATCCACTAACAGAGGCAGGTTTGGTGGTCCTGTTGTACTAGTTCTCATTTAATATATCTGCTCTCACTCAAAGTTCCAGTTTTGTATGTTGCAATAATAATGTTTTCGTTTCCGTAAATTATGCAGCAGACAGAAACCTGTGTGATCCAATCTGAGAAAAAGCATCATTCATCAGGATTCCTCCGATGATGCCAAACAACTGGCTGGACACCACTAGGGCAGGGCTAGTCTCTTTCCAGCGCCGCAGCAAGCCCTGAATCTCCAGAGCACATGCAGGCTCATAGTGATGTCAGTCGGGCGTGCGTTGCTCTTGCAATCAGAGCTAACTCTCCTCCCAGGCACCGTGAAGCTTGTTGCATGTGTGGCACGACACGGGGCGAGTCCGGCGTGAAGGCGGAGCCCTGATTACGGCCGGTGCATTGTCTTCGCAGCCACAACTGTTCTGGCTAATTAACGACGAGCCGCAGCCGAGGGGACCTCCCTGAGGGAGGAGCAGACCACCGCAAGGGGAAGACTTTCCAGCCGCAGGGCCGGAGGAGACTGTGACTGTGACTGTGACTGTGACTGTGACTGTGACTGTGACTGTGACTGTGACTGTGCGTAAGACCGTCGTTTTTGCTCCGTTTTCTTTTCGCCCTGTCCCGCCGTGCATCTCCACCGGGGCGGGCTGACCTTTTCTTCCCCCGTCTCGCTGCGTATCTTCCACCGGGACAGGTTCGGTTCTTTTTGTTTTGGTCTTGCGCTCCCTGCTCTTCCAGGCTGGACGCCGCGGTACACAGCGCCGCGTTTTTCTTCTTGCTTTTGGTTTTTCTTTTTTGTGTGCGCTTTTTTTTCCCGGTTCGCATTGCTACACTGGTCCAGTGACTCTCTAGGTGAGCGTGTCAAGTCATTCCTGAGTGGCTTCTGGAGATCAAAGCCTTTAAAATTCAGAAGAGATACAAATATATTTACAGTATACTTATGGGAAGAAGAAGGAATTAACAGTCACTTCAAAGTAGAGAAATCCATGTGTCTCTCCATGTCTACATTATTTGTTTAGCTGTGATCCTGTGACCCAAAGACCTCCTTTGCCCATTTCTATAAGGATTGTACTGTATTAACAGCCCAGAACATGCTTGCAAACTGTGAATCCTTCATATTTCTGTGTAAACCATTGGTTCTGCTTCATTTCCTAGGGTCTGTATTCATTTATACTCTTCTGGGTTCTGAATGTGAGGCCCAGAGCCTTTTTTTATTCATGTTTATTTTGTTAACTTATCTGACGCACCTTTTATTCTAAACAGTTATGGGACTGTAAAGGCTAGATTATTTTACCAGAGTGCTGATGACTCTTTGAATTGCGTCTTTTTTGATGGTGGGATTTACCTTCAGTATCTCTCCTTTCTTTGGTGTTGCCACAAGTTCCCCACAATCAGAACGCTAATGGATTAAAATGTTGTGTTCAACAAATTTACTTATTAGATGAAAAGAAAACTATGCTCCTGACAGCCTGGAATGCTGTAGCTGGTATTGGAAAAGCTCATGATAGATTGTTCTTATTTCAAATGTGCTTTCTCTGTTAAATGTTTAAACCCTGTTAATGACATTCTGATTACTGTTCTTTTTACCCAGTGACAGTTTTAAATTGACCTTCACAGGCAATACAGTAGGTGCCTGCAATAATTTTAACTTTTAACTTTGTAATTTGTATGACTCGTGTCACAGAGGTAAGGTTTTTAATTTCCCACTGTGTGCGCTGCCGCCCAGTGATTAGTTTCTTTCCAAGAACAGGCAGAGGATAAAGGTTTTTCACTGTACTGTGAAAACGGTTCTAAAAGAAATTACTGTAGTCCTGGTGCAGTTTGGTTTTAAAAAAAGTAATTTCCAGTCTTGTGACTGTCTAAACAATGTATATTGCACTGGAATCAATTGATCTTAGTCATGGGACCACAAATCTTCAGAGTGGAAAAGCAGTGGAATGTTTTTACTGAATAGCATCTGCTGTAAGATTTATTGCATTTTGAAAAGTTGCTTTTCCAGTGTCTCCAGGCAGCTTGTTTCTGTGCAAAGGACAAACGAAATCCTTACTCTGAACCCCTCTCAAGACTTGCCTATCGAGCAGCTCCACTTCGAGTGCTTCACTTTAGTCAGTTTTACAAATTCTAATCTTTACAACCTGTTAGCTAAAAACTTCATTTTCTCCACTTGTCACATAATGTGCTTGTTATTTTAGAAAGTGCATATTTACCCATCTTGAAACTGGAGATCCCCTTACATTGTGATCATGAGAAATGTTCATAATCAAGCCTCAGAGATGTGGCTCTCACACAGTTGAGCTGAGACCCTGTGAAGTCTGACTGTGTGCAATACACTTTATATACATTCCGATAGGACTCAGGCGGGGCATGGACATTTTCTGCATCTGTATAAAATCGAGCAAAACTGAAAGAAAGGAAAAAAAGAAACCTGCCGTAATTTAATCTAAAAATGACTGTATAAAACATTCACCATTTAAATGCCTTACTAGTATTAAGAATATTTAATTCTGGTCCATAAAACTCCCTACCCTACAAAAACACGGCCAATGCAAAATCTTACTTTGCTTGAATTCATCAGTCTTTTTATGATTTGCTTTCATTAGTTTGCTTTATTTTACTACCTTTACATTTATTCCTAGATGTCTGTTGGTTTATTCTGTCTGGAATTTGGACATCCATGTTTATAATGAAGTGCCACAACTGGATTGCTTTAATGAAGATATATTCCCTATTAAGAGCATATAATTAGCTGGCTGGTTTTGTAATTAAACAGTGTTCTTTTACAACATTTCTTTCCTAACCTCTGTAATTTCAGAATACACAGTGAAACGTTAGTCACGTCTCTCATTTGCACACAGAGAGTACGTTTTTAAGATAGTGTGTTGAAGATTAAGTTTCTCCTTAATGTCATGTGTCTTATGTCTTTTATCTTGGCACATTGTGTGTAGACTCTCATTTTAAGTAAGTCAGGCAGTGGGTCGATCGAAGCTATGGTAAATGTAAGCTAAAGAACAGAGATGGAAAAAGCGATTTGCATTGTTTTGAAACTGTTTTCAATGAAATGTGTTATGATGTGGAGTGTACTTGTCTTTGAATATATTAAATTCTTGTATTGGTTTGGGGATATAGTAAGCCTTTATTCACTGCCAAACAAATTCTGCATGATGTGATGGCTATTCTGTAATACAATGATCAAACAATGGCCCATTGTCACAAACGTAATCACTTGTGAATCGAACATTGAAACCTAATGATTCTAATTGACTTTACATCAGCGCCGTGTTTCCCCAATGTAACCATCTGCATTAGCTACTGTACACAGTAAAAGTAAACCAAGGGCAACATAAAACCAGAGTTCTACATGAAGGAGGAAGCCAAGAAATTTCATTCTCTCTTTGCCCCCCATGATCAAGTTAATTTGTACGGATAATATTAAGCCAATTATTGTTTTATATCCCCAGCTGTACTACACATTCTTAGCTAATGTAATGTAATGCTTAGTTAGTGTTTCATGTAATTCACTGAAGAGTATTCTGTCTTTGGGCAATCTCATGTTCCCTGAAAATAAAGCCACAATGAAAGTTATCTGTGTAACCATTCCCAATAACTGCAATGTAATGAAATGCATTTAAAATATATTTGAAGGTTTCTCTGTAGTTAATTAGTATGCTAACATCACTCACAGGGTATAATTTAATTTTCTTCCTATAATTTTCCTACAGTTTTCTTCCTGCAAAACTATATAATTCTTGCCTTGCATTCGACATTTCATTGTCAGAAGTTGACTATTTTTCCTGAAATTGCCTACAGTGAACATTGATTGAACTGGATCCTGTTTTTCGCCTTCATTTCCCCCACTCTTGAGGGAGAAATCGTGACATCTTGGAAGTAAGGCAGAAATAAGCAGGATGAAATGACGGGCTCTTAAGGATCTGTTTTAGATAAGATTTGAGATCTAAAAGTGATTTAGAGGGAACTACATGATTGAGAGCCATCTTCTAGGGGTTTTGTACTTTTTTTGTACTGTTGTACTGGTTTAGATTCTTGCTTGATTCATTAACATCTTAAGTTAATATTAGGTTATACAGTGTTAATCGTACATAATGTTAAGTGTGTATGTTTTTCATTTTGTGTTCAGAACAGTATTTCCGAAAGAGGTGTGCAACCACACCCTGTGTGAGCACAGTCACACTAATCCAACTAACACCTTATTATTTCAAAAACAGTTTTTAAATTTAATGGGCGGTGAATCATCAAAGCTCACATCTTCGCTATACAGTATCTATTTTACCTTCAGCATTTACAGTATGTTGTTGATTTTTTAAAAATGCATTGTATGTGTACAACAGTGCTTTGAAACAAACTAAAGAAAAATAACTCAAAATTCCTCGTGTTCTACACAGTATAAAAATACTGAATTATTCAACGTTAATGCCAATGCTAATGCATTACAAATGCATGTAATGTAGAACAGCAAAGAAATGTTTAGCTTGTAATAATTGGAGTTCTACAACTGCAACTCGGAGCAAAGGGGAGTGCTGGGTTGAGAGGAGGTAAGTGACACCTCATTAAAGATAGCATAGGGGATTATCTCGGAAAGCAGCAGTACAGTACATTGTGTGGCCGCAGTTATTAAGGCCAGTATCAGTCCCACAGCAGATTAAAGATTCATGATATGGACTTAGTAAATTTTGTAGCACATACTTTTCTTAGGGATATGTATTTTTCAAATCTGTATTTAGTCTTGTTCCCCTTCATTTTAAGAGTTTCTTTTAACACTATTTGATTAGTTCCACTGATTTCTTTTTTAGGAAGACATGGGCTAGCACTGAGTTTGAATCTCCATTTAATAAATCCCTAATTGCAATTGATTATTCTGAAAAGAGTCGTTTTCAGATAAATTGTACTTCAATTAAAAAGCATTTTACAATCTATGCACCGCATAGAAAAAATATTTCTTCTCTGCCTATTAATTCTAGTATTGCATGCCATCTAAATGAGCTCAGAATGTACTGTGCCCAGCCTGAAGAGAATGAATATGACGTACTCTCAAACATAAAATTATAGAATACAGCTAACATTTTCAGGATATTAAACAAAATAATACACAGTAAAAGAGTCGATAAAAATGCCAAAGTAAACTCATCCATTCTTTTTCTAACCACTTTATCCCGTTCAGGGTTGCAAGGGAGGTGGACATTAGTCCAGCAGCCGGCAGAGCAGGGTACACCCTGGACAAGGATGCCAGTCCATTGCAGGGCCCAAACAGACACACACACTCGCACCAGGGCCAATGTCCAGAAGACAAGTAACCATCCAGTAAGTCTTTGAGACAGTGGGAGGAAACCAGAACACCCAGAGAAAACCCACATGAACATAAAAAGAACATACAGCAGAAACCCCATATAGACAGCACTCCAGGAATTGAGCCCAGGGCCCCAGCCCTGCGAGACAGCAGTACTGATCACCACGCCATCCTAAAGTGAACACACTTTCCATAACCCTTTTGAAAGATGACCAAATATCGTATATTCATATTATGG